GGGGAGAAAGGCAGCAAATCACACTGCCACGTGTGTACCTATGCAACAATTTTGCATGTTCTTCACATGCAAATAAACCTAAAATGCAATAAAATAAATAAATTGGGAAAAAAAAAAAGAAAAGCAAAAAATAAACTTTAGGTGTTCCTAATGTCTTAAAAAGAAAGCCCTGATCAAAGAGAATAGAAACAGAAATTCTAACAGCATGGTAAAGGGAGGGAAGAAAAGAACAGGACAACTCACTAAAGTAATTATCTTAGACAGTGAGACAATATAGAAATGTCATAAATTGAAGATAGCAGATTGTTAATTACCAGCATACACCTAAAAGGTCTGATCTGTTAAGTGACAACTTTCATCAAATTTGATTTAAGAAATATAAATACATGTTAACAAAAGGTGAAAAAAATTGCTAAAAATTATCTTGCAAAGAATCACTAAAGAAAGCAAGCTTATCTATGTTTGTGTAAATTTAAATATACCTTAAGCCCAAAAGTAACTTCAGATACCTTATAATGATAAAAGGTTCAACTAGGAAATTATAACAGTTTTAGTTATAAATTTATCTAATTTTACTACAAAGCATTATTGTGAGAAAAAAAGAAAAAAATAATAAAACAAATGTATCTAGTTTATCTAATGATATTATTTATTATTATTTTATAATGCTTTGTGGTCCTATAATTATTAGTATATATTTCTCTTTATATACACACACATGCACAGACATAACTACACACACATATATATATGAAATCTGTAATGATATAAGTTTGAACATAATAAACTTAACATTTATCTAATACATACATAAAATTCTGAAATCAACATTTTAAAATCTCACATTCCACTATACACACATATATTTCTATGTGTGTACGTTTGTATAAATGATTATATATGCATATATGTGTGTGTGAATATATATTATACATACACCTAATATATATGATTGTGAGAGAACTACAAGAAAAAAACATAAAAGATCAACATACTTATGAAAATATTAAGACACCATGTGCTTGAATAACTGTGAAACAAAAAAAATTTTCCACTGTATGTGTACATTTGTTCTCATGTTTTTTAAAATTGGGATGATATCACATAATACAGCTCTATGCTTAGATGTGTTTTTTACTTAATATTCTTTCATGATACTTTTTTCATGTCAGTATCTTGAGAACCCACCACAGCTACTGAGTTTCCAACACTTCTTCTGGTCAAAATAACCAAAGCCGTCTTCTAAATATCAATGAATGCCAATACATACTCAGAAAATTAGTTTTAAAGTCTGCAATGGTTGGCCAGGCACGATGGCTCATGCCTGTAATCCTAGCATTTTGGGAGGCCGAGGTGGGTGGATCACCTGAGGTCAGGAGTTCAGGATCAGCCAGGCCATCATGGTGAAACCCCAACTTTAAAAAAAAAAAAAAATCTACAGTGGTCAAAATGCATTTTCTCTTGTTCAGTCCTCAGTTGTGGTGGCGTAAAAGATGCCTGTTATCTTCCTAAGTAAGTGAAGGATTTATATCCAGCAACTCAGTTTTCACTTTTCTGAAACCCAGCCCTATTCTCATCCTCCTATGACCCTGAATAACCAATACTGATTGTCCCCTTGCCACTCTGGGGACTTCAAAGGAGTAACGAGACTTTATTTACAGAACTAGCAACAGTACTCACCTCACTGGAAATTTTTTCAACAGTGGTCCAGATCTTCAGATTTTTCAGAAATGCAGGAATCAATGCTTATTTTCTTCAAGTGAGGAGATAAATCAGTAAAGTTCCCAGAAACAGAACTGCAGGATGTTGTAATTTCCTGCAATGCTAAGAAAATGAAGTATTTGCAAAGATAACAAGAAACAAAGGCCTTGGTTGAGTCACCGAGTAATCTGACCAGTGCCGGCTCTCTACTGCTCTGCTACTGCCCGGAGAGACAGGAGTTAGGAAACAATGTGGAAACTCCTCCCACCACTGTTTTTAGGTTTCGTTTCTGTTAGAGAAAAGGAACAGTTTCCTTCTGAAGAGGGCTGAAGTGTGTGGTGAGAGGAAATGGGTGATGAGAAATTACTTTCATGGGTACAATGAACATTTGTCCTGTGACGTGTACACTAAAAGCTCTGACAGAATTACATTTGTATGTCATAAATGCATATAAATACAAATAAATCAGTATATATACATATATATATATTTTTTTTTTTGGTAGAAAATTTAATGGCTGAAAAGAGTTCCAACATTAGAACTTTCTTACCCAGCAGACTTACATGTGGGTCCTTAGAAACCTATATTCCCTTACATGATGCTCAAATACAAGAGAAGCAAGGTGGCTTCTCCCTCCTTTCCTGTGCACAGGGTGGCAGTGGTAGGAGATCTTGGTAGAAGTGTCTAGTACTACCAGTACTTTACTGCATCTCCTGGATGGGGAAATGCCTGGTATAAAATTGCTATTTGTTTAAATGTTACCTGAAGTATTCATCCAATTGTTAATAGTTGACTCACCTGGGGCTTTCCAGATCAGAAAGTCGATATGAATATATAAATTGTTCCTCAAATTTATATAAAGGAGTTTAACACTAGCTGTCCTTTTGCCTATGACTAGGTTGCTTTACCTCAATGATTAGATTTATGATTACTCATGTTTTCTGCATTATTCATGGGCAAACACACGTGGACAGTAGGGCTCAGAGCTTGACAACAATGAAGACTTGAAAATCCTGGAAAATGCACTGAACTTCTGGTAGCATAGGGAGCCTGTTTAATCCTTTGCTCAGCAATGTATTTTTCTCTGTAAACGGCAGTGGGTACCGTTTAGAGTGCTGTAACCCCAGGATGTCAAATAAATGGCATCATCTAGCAGATGATGTTGTGTTAACCCAGCAGCAGATCTGCAAGCAGGATGTGGCCATGATGGAAAGGAGACCCCGTAGACAGTGAACGTGTACTATCCAAGGCCATCTATAGATCCAAAGAAAGCTGATTGTTTTAATCCAAACTAGGGCCATGGAGAGAATAGCTGAATTCTGGATTTGAAACTATATGAATAACTATCAAGAGGAGTAAGTCAAACAAAAGCAAAGAGGATCTGGAATGATGGCAATAAACACTTCTGGGGTTCATGATGATCTTTTACTGGCTTTGCGTTGCCATTTATGTGGATACGTTGAGTAGGCCATAAGGCAGCAGGTAGAGAGGGATATTAGGGAGGTCATGGAGATCCCCAATCCAGGGGTCAAAGGGTAGAGGACCCTTGGAAGTTATGACCATATTTAAAAACATTTTCCGTCTTTTTGCTTAAAATCATTTTATATTCAGTAATGGCCTCAATTGGGACTCCAGTGTACAACACACAAATTACTGTCACCAATAAAAAATTTAGGACAATGCTCCATAATTCACACTGTGAAGGTGAAATTTTCATAGATGAAGCAAAATGCTTGAAAATGTGCATTTCCTCCCACTCTGTGGCAGTGGCCAACAACTGGGAACTTGTGCTATCACACAGAAAGGTCGTTAGTAGAATATACAAAAATTCCTGATAAAGCGAAAAATGTGTGAATGAACCTGTATTCCTTTTTATACTCTGATACCAATCCTCATGATCATTCAAAGTCCTCAGGAAGAGTTCCCATCAATTTGATATTCTAAGCAAAATGTTGCCAAATTCCTGCCAACGGCCCAATCCTAACACATCATTTGCTTTTATAAAGTTTTACTGAAGCACACCTGTCCTTATTTATTTTTGCATTGTCAGTATCTGCTTCGTGGTGCAATGCCAAGTTAAATAGCTGCAGGAGAGTCCCTCTGGCTGCAGAGACTAAAGATGTTTACTAAATGGTTCTTTACAAAAAAAATTAACTTGCACACAGCCATCTGTGTACAGATGTGTTAAACTTTTCTCCTCAAGTAAGCAGAAGAGAAACCACACCAAGAAATCAGTCAGAGCTTTTTAAGACCATTGTAGACTAATGACTACAGACTTATGATAAGGTTAGCAATCTCAGAGAAGTAGAAATGGGGAGTGTTAAAGCCTTGTCTAACTGATTATCCCTAAGGGCCAGAACAAAATCCATTTGTATGGGAGCCTCAGTTACAAGTCTGATTTTATGCATTCGTGGGCATCAACCACCTGAACAATGTGCCTTCTCCTTTTGCCTCTCAAGAAAATAGATTTTTTTCTCAAGGAAGAAGAAGGTGATTGAGTTTTAAATGTTGAACCAATGTTACATCCCTGAGATAAAATACACTTTTTTTAATGATGCATTACAATTTATTATATATTGATAGGTTTCATTTTTAAAATTTTAATAGCTTATTTTGCATTTATTTTTGTGAAGGAATTGGCCTTTGTTTTTCTCTTTGTATAATATCTTTATTTAATTTTGGTATGACAGTAAACTGGCATTTCTAAAACTGATGCATTATAATTTATTATATACGATAGGTTTGATTTTTAAAATTTTAATAGCTTATTTTGCATTTATTTTCGTGAAGGAATTGGCCTTTGTTTTTCTCTTTGTGTAATATCTTTATTTAATTTTGGTATGACAGTAAACTGGCATTTCTAAAACTGTGTACATATGTGTTAAACTTTTCTCCTCAAATATTTGATAAAATTCATAAAGTGTCTATCCCAAAACTTTCACTATAGAAAGAGTTTTTGTTATAACTGCCTTTTCTTTCATAGATATAGGGATATTTAGTTGTTTTATTTCCTTATGAGACAGTTAAATTGTGTTTTACAGGAATTTCATCCACTGGATCTAAGTAACTAAACTTACTGGGATTATATTGTTTCTGATATTGTTTTATTACCCTTTAAATATCTGCCTTATCTGTAGTATCATCCCTTTACATTCCTGATGTTGATCTTTTATATTATCCCTCCTTGTTTTTCTTGATTATTCTTGGTAAACAGACTCTCTCTGAGGAGGATGTGCAGGGAAGTTCAAAGTCAAGAGGAAGGACAAAAGGGATAGTAAAGGAATCTGCAGCCTTCGGCACCTACATCTAGAGCAAACAGTAAACAATGTTTTAACACCCAGCCAGAATAACACAAAAATCTCATACTAAAGGCCTATTTATTTCCGTTCCTATTGTCTAATAGTCTTCCTTTTAACAACAACTACAACAACAACAAAAATTGCAAAGTATACCAGAGACAAAGAAAAGCAGAGTCTAAAGAGTCAAAAGAAGCATTGTAAGCAGACTCAGCTATGACCCTGATGTAGAAATTTTCAGACAGAAAATATAAAATTGGTACAATTATTGTGTTAAAAGCGCTAGTGGAAAAAGTAGACAATGTGCAAGAACAGATGGATGTCAGCAGAGAGAAGGAAACACTAGAGAGAATCAAATGAAAATGCAGGAAATCTGAACCATTGCAATAAAAATGGAGAAAACTCAATAGAGCTGACACAACCTAGGAAAGATTTGGTTACCTTGAAGATGGCCCAACAGAAATTTCCCAAAATGAATGCAAAGGGGAAACATAAGCCAGAATATCCAATAACTGTGGCATAATATAGTAAGATGTAGCACATGTATAATGGAAACACCAGAAGGTAAAGAAAGAGAAAATGATGCAAAAGGAATATTTGAAGGAAAAATTGCCAATAAATTTTTTAAATTAATCAGAGGCTGAAAACTTCTGATGCAGGAAGCTCAGGTAAACAAAGGGAAAGTAAAAAACTATTATAGAGAAATGATTTTAAGAATTACCATGAACTTATTGTCAGAAACACTGCAAGCAAGAAGAATTAGAAGAGGGTGGAGAGAAATATTTGACCTGTTGAAAGATAAAACCCACAAACCCAGAATTCTGTATCCAGCAAAATTACCCTTCAATAGTGAAGGGGAGATAAAGACTTTCTCAGACAAGACTGTGGGAATTTGTTGTCAGTACACTGGCCCTGCAAGATGTGTTGAAAGATCTTTAAGGAGAAGAAAAACTATATAGATCAGAGTTTCAGACCTATGTGAAGAAGAGTGTCAGAGAAGACATAAATGAAGATCAAATAAATTTTGAAAAATTTTTTTATTCTTGATTTAAAAGATTATTGTTTTTTTAAGGTAATAATAGTAACAACGTATTCGGTGATTATAGTAAAGGGATAAATGAAGTGAATGACACAAATGCTCCAGGGGAAAAGGTGGAGGTATTGGAAATTCTTTGTTATAAGGCACATGTATTATAGGTGAAGCAATATGGTGTTGTATAAAGGTAGATTAAATTGCTTAAAACTGTATTTTGGAAACTCAGGCAACTACTAAAAACTTAAAAAGTTCTAGTTCACATGCTAAAAGAAGAAAGAGAAAGGAATGGTAAAATGCTCAGTAAATTCACAGAAGATGGAGAAAGAGAAGGCCAAGAAACAAACAGCAAATGCAACAAATAGAAAACAGTTATAAAATGGTAGATATTCATTTAACTATAACAATAACTACAGAAGGGCCCTAATTTGTAGCAATTGCCAAATTCAGTGATGTAACTATTACTACTTCTTTTGTCTTTATGATTTCAAATGTTTGACAATCAGAAGAAAAATTCCTGGGCATTTAATAACCACTTCTTTCTAATTTTTAGATGCCAGCACACCATTTCACCTCCCTACCTCTACACCTTCAAATATGCTCTCTCTGATGCATTCCTCAGGATAATTGACCACATATATACATAGTGTTAAGAGCTCTAGTGGAAAAGGCTATGTGTGTGTGTGTGTGTGTGTGTGTGTGTATAAATTTAATCACTTTAATAACAAAGCAATGTAGCTATGTTACATATTATGTATATAATGTAGCTATGCTATTAAAGTGATTAAATTTATATTAATCAGGCATTATTCTGAATAAAATCTCCCTATTGTGTACCTATATATATGTATATATTTTACAATGAGGCTTCAATTTCTCTCTTTATGACAAAAAGCAGTGTTCTATTTTAATTTTCTGGCCTCAT